ATATTAGATCTTTCCTCTGTTCCTACTGTTCCCCCCCCTTCTCAGCAACATTGCCTTCACTGGTCAGTTCTGTATTTTCATTATCTGTGCATGGTAAGATAGCCTCAGTTTATGCATTTTTGCTCTAGGCAGAATTCAGGCTTGACTTGAGCAGCCACTTTTCTGCCTTTCTGTCTGTGGTATCTATAAGGCTCTCCTCCAACACATTTCAAATGAGTTGATTTTTGTTCCTTTTTTTCTTCATTGTCTTTCTTTCACATAGTATGGATGATTTTGACCTTAGCTTCCAGTGACAATCTTCGCTAACTCCAGTTTCTTTCTTTTTATTATTTCAAAAGGCAAAGGGTCATATTTTGGAAAACATGCACACAATATTTCTTTAGAGTAGGGGTCCCCAGCCCCTGGTCCATGGCCCGGTGCTGGTCCATGGCCCATCCGCACATGAGCACGCACCCCCATGCATGGACCCTGCCCCCCCCAAACCACTGCCTTAGAGCTTTTTGTCCAATATAGCTTTTCTTCCTCAACTTGTCTAACTCAAGGAAAGAGTCTGGAAATTGGATCATAGATTTCTATTCTGCATTCTACAGAGCGGTCATGGCAACATTCGTTTACCCAAGATGTGAAAGGGTGTGCATGTTTCTCCATTGTACATGTTGTAACTATTCACATCTTTGCTTCACCATTTCATTACATCCAAAACAACACTTCAAAATATTTTGGCACAGAGGGACAAAGCCACATCCCAGCTGTTCTTGCTTCTGTCCTCTCCCAGCAACCATAATACAACTCACGTGCATCTTCTTGGATCCTCTAGCACTTACTGGGTCATTCTACATGAGGGAGGTTTCTGTTGGAATTTGTATGTAGTGCATGTATCCTTAGACTTCCATTTTAAAAAGCCAGGAACTTCAATTCTTCAAAACAAAAAACAAAAAAACCATCTAGTTTATGAATGTGGAATATTGTACTTCTGTACCGATTCAAAAAACTAGAAAATGGCCTAGTATTACTACACAATATAATGCCTGCATTACCAACAATAAAAAGGCTGCCAAGCCTAACAAAGCAAAGGGCAGCTCAATGTTGACAACACCAATGATAGCAATCAAGATGGTCTACAGCAGGTGTCCCCAACCCCAGTCCGTGACCTGGCACCGGTCTGCAGCCTAGGCAGGACCGGGCCACAGACACAGATCTCCTGCCCCCCGTGAATGTCCCACTCGAGCACTAATGTGCATGAGCGCACTCTTACCCCTGTGAGCATGCTGCATGCATGCGCATGAGTGGGGGCCCCAAGCATCACTGTGCACATGAGCGCACTTCGCCCCCTGCGGGTGTGCCATACACATGCATGCAAGCAATCGCCGTGAGCGCCACTGCATGCATGCACGTGAGTGGACTACGTCCCCCAAACCAATCCGCGGTTGGGAAAAGGTTGGGGACCACTGGTCAACAGAATACCCTCTTCTGTGTACTGCTATTCACACTTGTTAAAATACAGCCATGACAATTTCTTTGTGTTTGGGTGAGAAGTAGTTAACCGATGAAAAAAATGTGTCTAGTTCTAGGATTTTTCTTTGTTTGGTGACCCTTTATAAATGGTAGTGAGCACAACAGGGTAGACTATTTTGACTGCTGCCATTGATGTCAACATTCAGGCCGTTTTTTGCTTTGTAAACGCTGACATCTTTTTTCCATCTGGCAATGTGAGTCTGATATTGTTCAGCAATATTGGGCCATTTCTTATTATTGTAGGCATCCTTCAGTCTCAAGAGACTATGGTATCGTGCTCTGTATGGAGGTCTTGGAACAGTGTCTTGTGTGGCTGAGAACCTCAGTTCCCAATTTCCGCTGCTGCTCAAAAAGAGAGACAGGCATGATGGACAGAGGGGAGGATGGGGGGGAGTGTGAATTCTCAGAGGACCACTCGAAGAACCAAAGTTACAGGTAAGTAACCTCTCTTTTTCCAATAAGTTCTGCTCAAGTCTTGAAAACTAATAGCTGTAGCTTTCTTTTTTGAGACAATCTGCCTCATATTAGATCTTTCCTCTGTTCCTACTGTTCCCCCCCCTTCTCAGCAACATTGCCTTCACTGGTCAGTTCTGTATTTTCATTATCTGTGCATGGTAAGATAGCCTCAGTTTATGCATTTTTGCTCTAGGCAGAATTCAGGCTTGACTTGAGCAGCCACTTTTCTGCCTTTCTGTCTGTGGTATCTATAAGGCTCTCCTCCAACACATTTCAAATGAGTTGATTTTTGTTCCTTTTTTTCTTCATTGTCTTTCTTTCACATAGTATGGATGATTTTGACCTTAGCTTCCAGTGACAATCTTCGCTAACTCCAGTTTCTTTCTTTTTATTATTTCAAAAGGCAAAGGGTCATATTTTGGAAAACATGCACACAATATTTCTTTAGAGTAGGGGTCCCCAACCCCTGGTCCATGGCCTGGTGCCGGTCCATGGCCCATCTGCACATGATCACGCACCCCCACGCATGGACCCCGCCCCCCCTGAACCAGTCCACGATTTGGAAAAGTTTGGAGACCACTGCCTTAGAGCTTTTAGTCCAATATAGCTTTTCTTCCTCAACTTGTCTAACTCAAGGAAAGAGTCTGGAAATTGGATCATAGATTTCTATTCTGCATTCTACAGAGCGGGCATGGCAACATTAGTTTACCCAAGATGTGAAAGGGTGTACATGTTTCTCCATTGTACATGTTGTAACTATTCACATCTTTGCTTCACCATTTCATTACATCCAAAACAGCTCTTCAAAATATTTCGGCACAGAGGGACAAAGCCACATCCCAGCTGTTCTTGCTTCTGTCCTCTCCCAGCAACCATAGTACAGCTCATGTGCATCTTCTTGGATCCTCTAGCACTTACTGGGTCATTCTACATGAGGGAGGTTTCTGTTGGAATTTGTATGTAGTGCATGTATCCTTAGACTTCCATTTCCAAAAGCCAGGAAATTCAATTCTTCAAAACAAAAACAAAAAAACCATCTAGTTTATGAATGTGGAATATTGTACTTCTGTACCGATTAAAAAAACTAGAAAATGGCCCAGTATTACTACACAATATAATGCCTGCATTGTCAACCGTAAAAAGGCTGTCAAGCCTAACAAAGTAAAGGGCAGCTTGAATGTTGACAACACCAATGACAGCAATCAAGATGGTTTACAGCAGGTGTCCCCAACCCCAGTCCGCGACCTGGCACCGGTCTGCAGCCTAGGCAAGACCGGGCCACAAACACAGACCTCCTGCCCCCCGTGAGTGTCCCCCCCGAGCACCAATGTGCATGAGCACACTCTTACCCCTGTGAGCATGCTGCATGCATGCGCATGAGCGGGGGGGCCCAAGCATCACTGCACGAGCGCACTTCGTCCCCTGCGGGCGTGCCATACCCATGCATGCAAGCAACCCCCATGAGCGCCACTGCACGCATGTACGTGAGTGGGCTACGTCCCCCAAACCAGTTCTCGGTTGGGAAAAGGTTGGGGACCACTGATCTACAGAATACCCTCTTCTGTGCACTGCCATTCACACTTGTTAAAATACAGCCATGACAATTTCTTTGTGTTTGGGTGAGAAGTGGTTAACCGATGAAAAAATGTGTCTAGTTTTAGGATTTTTCTTTTGTTTGGTGACCCTTTATAAATGGTAGTGAGCACAACAGGGTAGACTATTTTGACTGCTGCCATTGATGTCAACATTCAGGCTGTTTTTTGCTTTGTAAAAGCTGGCACCCTTTTTCCATCTGGCAATGTGGGTCTGAAATTGCTCAGCAATATTGGGCCATTTCTTAGCATACTGAATTATAGGTACAGAAGCCCAGTGTGCCACATTCATAAACTGGAGCATTAATTTTTATTTAAAGAATTAAATATTTTTAAAGACATGCACAATTTTGTGAGTACGTGCACTCTTTTTGTACTTACTTTGTTGGCTTATCCAACCAAATGTGCAAACCTAGGCCTTGAGCTTCTGAGAGGAAAGGCAGGATAAAAAAAGTAAAAAATGAACAAGTAAACATTCACAGGTATAGACTACCATTAACATGGTGGATTGCTTTGGAAACCCACAATCTCAGTGCTTCTCATACAGTCAGCTTTGCAATACTTCTCCAAAATCAAGTGTTTTCCTTGTTAAATATATATATGTATATATATCTATATATCTATATCTATATCTATATCTATATCTATATCTATATCTATATCTATATATCACCGCCCCCTAAATATTAACACTGGATTAAATATTAAGGCTGTCATATGGTATTTATCAGCTTCACAGCCTGCCTTTAAAATACAATATTAATATTGCATTATTAATAGGGGATTAAATTAAAAGATTGTCACAAATTATTCACAGACCTAAACTGCAATACAGGGGGAACACAGACGAGACAACATTGCAGGGGGGTTGTAAGCATCTCTCGTCAGCACTCCCACATCCAAGATACAGCGTAAAGGTAACAGACTGCATGGATATGAACACTGACAAAAGCCTTTTTTAAAACATTCTAAAATTCACTCCCCAAATTCACTTTTTTCACCTAAAATGATGCCTGACATAGAAATGTCACTGAACTTCACTCAACACTGCTGATTTTATGTTCTGGTAGACAGGCTGCTGCTCAATCACAGCCCTGTGTTCTAATTCTCCCATTCATCTTCCAGGTGATCTATCTTCAGGCGAGACCTAGAGGGCGGAATAAAACGTCGTGGAAAGGAACCACAAAACTCTAACTTCCTATAAGAGGCATGCCACTCTACTAATTTGTTTCTGTACTTGTTCCATGACTGCCAGTAAACTTTGTTGCTGAGGCGGGCTTTAACAAGAAAGACAACCTTTCTCGCTAATGGGCATCTTCGCTCTCATTAGTGTACCACCCTCTTTGGGGCCTTGAGCGGGCAGCCGCTGCAGGGAGCCAATGAGAAGCGGGAACGCTGCGGAATGGCGTCGTAGGCAGCCAATGAGACGTTAAGAGTTTGAATAGCTGCGGATGGATGGATGGAGCAGAGGAGGTTCGCTGTAGTCGTTGTGTGAGGGGGGAGAACGACGGTCGGGGTCGCTCTTGCGGGAGAAGGCGAGGGGTGGTCGGGAGGGGCGGACGGAGCGAGCTTTCCCGCCCGCCATGTCGCTGCACGGGAAGCGCAAGGAGATCTATAAGTACGAGGCGCCATGGACCGTGTACGCCATGAACTGGAGCGTCAGGCCCGACAAGCGCTTCAGGCTGGCGCTGGGCAGCTTCGTGGAAGAGTA